TGACTCTTCTCTCAGCCCCCAGGCCATCTCTGGACGGTGCCGAAGCCCTCTAACGCCCTCCCTGCGACTTCCAGACCCCTCCTCTGGTCTGCGCCCCCACTGCTGCTGGCCCCGCTCCTCCCCCTCTGAGCCACGGGACCCACAGAACGAATCCGCCTGATTTCAGGCTCCCGCCCTCTGCTGCCTGGCAGGGCGGGCGGGCTGAAACGCAAATGCCCGTCCCGTCCTGTCCGTTGCTCCATGACTTAGACCCTGTTCGCCTGCAGGACACCCCGGCTTCCCTGCCTAGAATGTGAGGCCTTCAGGGCCTGGCTCCCAGCCAGCCCCCTCCCACCCGGAACCTTCGGGCTGCCCCCTCCAGCTGGCAGGGCCCTACCGGAGTCTTTCGGGTCCCCCCAGGCAGCTCTCCAATGCTTCTGTCCCAGAGCACCTCCCGACGCCAGGGGCTGGGTTCATGCCTCCATGGCGAGAGAGAAAGCGGGGTGTGACCCGGCACAGCCACCTAAGAGGTCGCCAACTCCTGCATGGCCTGCTCCAGTGCCGCCCCACAGAACTTCCTGCGACGGACAGAACGTGCCCCCTCTCACTGTCCAATGCCGAGTGTAGCTACGGAGCGCTTGAAACGTAGTTAGTGTGACTAAGGGTCTGAATGTAAAACTCGATTTAACTTCAGTTAAATTTAAATGGCCACATGTGGCCAGTGGCACCATGCAAGACAGTAACCTTACAATGCCAAAGCAGAACCGCTGAAGGTTGAGCGGGGACACGTCTACCGCGGAGGACGGTACCAGCCCGCAGCAGGGATGCGAGGTCAAAGTCGCCCTCGGTCACCGTCGGCCCGGCCGCTCATTTCCTGTCCTCCTCCCTGGCAGCCTGGGCCCTCGCGGGACAGCCTGCGCTTCGCAGTGACTTCAGGGCACGCCTGCCTCACGTGTGGCCCCGAGGAGCCGTCGTCTAAAAGCTTGAAATGCGTCGAAACAGACATGCGACCCAGAGCAGAACCCGACCCTTCCCCTTGCTCCCGCGGGACTGTCGGGACAGGACGAGGGCGCCGGCCGTCCCCGCCAAGCGCCAGCTCTGCTCCCGCCCCGGGCTTCTCTCTGGCTCAGCCTCGTGAGCCAGCATGACGTCATCGGCTCGGCCTCCTCCCGCAGAGCCCGGCGTGTCCTCAGGTGTCCTGTGCTGTACCCTTGGACGGGGGGCTGGGCTCGGCTTCCTCGGCTAAAGGACACCTGCGTGTGCCGCAGAGGTTTCACACTTTGGGACCCAGATCCCCGAGCAAGCTTCTCAAGCCTCTGCCAGAGCAACTCCCTTCAGCGATGGCTCAGAACAGGAAAGACGGGGCTTTCAGTGCGATGGGCACATCCAGACACGCTGCGAACCAACCACCCGGCTTTTGCTGGGCCCATGAGAGCAAGGACCGGGTTTGCAAAATGCTCCACATTCTTCTGGGCCTACTACGCATTCTAAAAGATTCTCTACAAAATGAATTTAGATTTTATGTTCCTCTTTAATCTAGTTGAAACTCTGTAATTAGGAAAAAAACCCAACTCTACACAAAGCCAGAGAAAGCATGAAGAACGGATCTGGACTCGAGACGCGGCGTCCATGGAGTCCTTCGTCAGGGGACGGGCAGCCTCCGCAAGCTCGGGCCTCCGTTTCGGGGGCCCCCCACCCCCACAGCGGAAGCACAGCACTGGAGGGCAGGGCTCCAAAGCCAGCATGAGAACGTTAGGCCTGTCAGCCTTCCTCTTCCCAGATGTAGGGAGAGCAAAATAAAAATCCCAGGCCTTCCTCACCTTCTGGAACACCACGGGCCAGCTCCACAGGGCCCGCCGTGGGGACGACCCACCCAGTGGCGGCCCCGAGCCAAGCAGGGACAATGGTCTCCCATCCTGTCTGCAGGAGGAAACAGAGGCTGGAAGCAGCAGCTCCCCAGGGACCCAAAGCTTGAAAGACCTGGGTTTCCTTCCTGTAAACACAGCCAGTCTCCCGCAGGCGCTGGGGGCGCTGCTTCCCGCCCCAGATGCTTCTCTTCCACCGAAGACCCAGTCAGACTTGGGAGCAGTGGCTGTCCTGCCAGCAGCTTTGTGAGGATGCAGGGAGGGGCGGTGGGGCTGAGGGACCGCGTTCCCATGGGGCCAGGAGGCTGGTCCCATCCGGGGCTGCCTTTTTGGCAGCTGCAAATGATTTGCATTTGGCTTTTGTTGCTTCACCAACAGCTCGCGAGGCCAAATGACAATCACAGCATCACTCGTGATGGACAAAAACAAGATAACTGGAAACAACCCAAATACCGAGAAATTCAGAAGTGGTTTAAAATTTCACGGTGCATCTACATAAGGGATGAACAGCCAACGGCCTCCTCTTCCCTTCTCTGACAGGATGCTAAGCACTATGACCCCATTTTTGTTTTTAAAACACCCAAGCCAGCTTTACTGGAGCCACGCTTCAATCTTGATTTGAAGAAACCATTTATAAATGCCATTTTTGAGACAAGGGGAAACTTGAGTATGAACTGGGTATTGGAAGGGATCAAGACATTGTGTATTTTAAAAAACGTTTCTGTCAAATGGAACGAGACGTCATGGCTATGTAAGAAAATAACCCATTATTTTTTAAAGATGCACACTTGAGAATGTAGGGGATGAAGTGATGTGATCTTGGAATTTAAAATTTATTTTAAAAATTCAGAAAAGAAAAAGAAAAAAAGATATATGAATTAACTGAGGATGGATATGTGGAGGCTGATTTTACTGGTCTTGCTTCTTTTTTGCATCTTTAAAATTCTTTGTAACAACAAATCTTAAGTACACAGGAAAAAGCGTGTGTGTGTGTGTGGGGGGAATCCCGCCATAAAAGGAGCTGGTCCGATGCTGCACGCCGCCTTCCTGGGGGCGTGGGGCCAAGTCCTCGGAGTTTCGACTGCGTTAGCACCGGTGTCGCCTGGAGAGCGACGGGACCCTGGGCTCTAGGCGGTGGGCGAGCGTGGAGGCTTCCGCGGAGAGCTTGGCGGCGCCCGCTCACCCGGGGCGGGGCTCGGGGCCGCAGCCCCGCGGGGACAGCGGCTTGGTCGGCATGCCTCTTGGGCAGTTTGGAAACCAGAGTCCCAGGAGCAGGAGGAAACTCCCCGGTACTTAGCTCTAACTTGGGAGGAAGCCTTGGGCCGCGAGAACCCGCGGAGCCTACGACCGCAGCCCTTGTGGAGAGGCATCTGGGCTCTTCTTGCCAAATCCCCATGATGGACGTGGCTCTCGGGGACAGCCACGCCCACAGGCGGCCCCCGGCCAGCTCAACTCTTTCTCTCCGGCTCAAGAATGCATAATGTTACACAAGCCAGGAGCTCTGCGTCAATCTACAGCAATTTACAAAATTAACAAATCGCTGGAAAACGACAATGCGACAATGCGCAGTAAAACACAGTTCGGTGCTGTGACAGCGCTCAAGATTCAGATGCCACAGAAGTCACCACAGCATCTTCACCTGAGGTGAAGGCCCCCGGGCACCTGTCCCTACCGGCTGCACAACCCCTCCCTCGCCTCGCCCCGCCCAGCAAGACGACTTTATACACAGAGGATCACACCGCCTTTCAGCACGCGGCACTGGCTCCTCGCATCGGAAGATTAAATAGAACATTTTTACGCATCCTTTATACATGTCTTCTCCCCCGTCCATGAATAAACGTGTGCTTGTCCATGCCCAGAGTCCCAAGGCCACACTGGCTGTGGGCGACGTCGTGCATGAGGGTCCGCTTTGATTCTGTTTCCTGCTCGGGGCGGGATCCAGGTCTCCTCTTAGTTTTTCCGGATATCTGCATACACCACGGACTCTGCCTTGTTAATCTTGCCGCTGTGCTGACCTCCGGAGTGGTCTAGCTGCGCGTAGATGACCGGGCCCTGGGGACAGAGGGGAGAGAAGCCGAGTGAGACGTGTGGGAAGCGGCGCTCTGCACAGGCCGGATTCAGGAGGGCCGCGGGGGGACGCGTCCGGGCCAGGAGGGCCGCGGGGGGACACGTCTGGGCTGGATTCAGGAGGGCCGCGGGGGGACGCGTCCAGAGCTGTCCTTAAAACAGGACTGTGCGTGGCGGTGGCTGGTAAAGCCGGTGCACGGAGATCTGTTACATCACTCTACTTTGGTTTCTGTCTGGAAATTTCTATAACAATACAATATTCCTTCTCAGGAATCTTATCGTCATACCTGTCACAGAATTCCTCGGCCCTTCTAACTGGGGACACAGTCGTAAGGACCAAGACGGGCATTTCAGCCAGCCTGAGACCCACTGTGATCAGGAGCTTCAGAATGACGTACGTAAGAAACCGCATGTTCAGTGTCACCCAAAGATACAATCGACTAGTCGCTTTATCTAAGTAGGTACCTAAAAAGATTTCAAATATTCTCCCATGTACCTACTTAGAGTATAATTCTTTCAGTCTGACAGTATCATAACTAATAAAAATATTGCTTCTCTGATACCTCAGATCAGGTAACTGTTTTTGTTCTGAAACTTTTCAAAAGCCACAATCTACAGACCTATAAAGGAAACTCCAAGGCTGCAGTAGGAGAGCTAAGGGAGAGGGCTGTCGGGGTCAGAGCCGGGACAGCAGGGAGGCTGGGCTGCCTGGGGGCAGCGGGAGCCCCCAGCAGAGGCTGGGGATTCACGTATCAGGTGGGTGGTGACCTCTATAAGTCGCTTCCAACCCAGAGGCTCTAAAATTGTAAATGACGACGACAAAACAGCCCTGGCCTTAAGAGAGAAGGGTGCTCTAACCAGAGTCAACCTCGATCCAAAGACACTCTTCTCGAAAAGTCTAACGTCGTGCTTAAGCTTCCAACTCTGGAATCATAAGCTCAGTAGCCAAAAGCATGTGGTTTAAAATAAACACCTTTACCCCGCCCAGGAACTCCACAACCTGCATCCTTCCGTGCATGACATGGGAGGGGATCCTGTGGCATTTGGACACCCCAACTGCTCCGGAGGGGACAAATCCAGCCGGAAGGGCTTTAGCATGGGGCATGTGAGAGCAGAGCTATAACATAACACCCCGGGCCAGCCCCACCTGGAGGCCGGCAGGTCCGCAGTCTGAATCTGTGACATCTTCTCCCTGGGCACGGGAGCACTGCTGCTCACCAGCCACGGGGCCTCGGGCGTGGTCGGAAACTGCGAAGCATGAGTTTGTCTCTAAAGTGGCAGTTAACGGTAGTGTGATACTCCTTAGGTGCTTGTGCAAATTGAATGAGAATAAATAAAGCAGCACTAAATACGCATTAGGCACTGTTCCCACGGACGTTCTGTGGCACAGGGTCTACTTGAGACAGGCCGAGGTGGCTGACCGGGTGAACTGCGCAGCCAAGCTCTGTGTTCGTCTTTAGACGTAGGTGATGCTCTTACGTCTGTCATGGGTCAAACAACAGACCTCACTGTTAATACCGAATCAAACGGAGACTCTGCAGTCACCTCAGAAACTGCAAGTTAAATGCAGATCTAAAAGGGAAATAAGTTGAAAAAATCCTGTTTTCTGCTATAGTTGACCCTTGAACAGCACAGGTTTGAACCGTGTAGGTCCACTTATATGAGGATTTCTTTTCAATAAATATATTGGAAAAGTTTTTGAAGATTTGCAACGATTTGAAAAAACAGACGAACTATGTCGCCTAGAAGTATTGAAAGAAATAGATTATGTCATGAATGCATAAAGTATGTGTAAATACTAGTCTGTTGTTATCACTTACTACCATAAAGTAGACACAATAATATACAGTAGGCAATAGCAGCTTAGTTTTGGGGAGTCAAAAGTTACAGGTGGATTTCTGTCTGCGCAGAGCGTGGGCTCCCTCGGGGGTCGCTCGGCGGTCAGCGGTACAGGCACAGAATGAGAACAAAGGGCTGTCTGGTAAGTTAACTGGTTCCTGGCTGCAGTCACGTTCAAGACCAGGACTGACCCTTAAATTAAGTCGTGTAACTTCCTAGATGATGACAAAACCCTCCATCGAGATTCATGAAGACTCACGAGGAGTTTCAGGGTGTGTCTACGGGGGAAGGAGCTTATACTGTGTGACACGTTGTAAAAACGGCCACGGATTCTTCTTCAAAGCCAGTTTGGTGTTACATTGCAAATACTGAAAAATGAAAGTAAATTGACACGGTGGTGGAAGCACTTCTCACCGGTGACTGGAAAATGCCCCCGAGTCAGGCCTGGGCAGGACCCTGGGGTTTGCTCACAGGAGGGATGACCCAGTCTGACTCAGGGACAGCAGGCACAGCAGGGTGAGCTGTGGGCCCTAAAACGGGTGGGCAAGTCTACTTCCTGAATAGTGAGCTCTCCTCCCCTCTCTGCTCAACTCCCAAGCAGGAAATGAGATTTCTTTCTGGAGAAATCAACCAACCCACGAGAAAACACCCTCAGCAACTGACACTTTGAGGTCCCCCAGTGAAGCCGGCCAGCACTAAGGATGAACAGTGAAGCCCATACCCACTGCCCAATGAGCTCTCTCTGCACAAAAAGATTCGGATCAGACCTGAGTGCCTTAAATACAAATGGAGAACCAAGGACCGCTGGGCATTTGAAGAAAGCTTCTAATAAGAAAGACAAATTATAAGGGGTAAAAAAGAGAATCCAAAAGAAACAGCAAAATCAAGAAATAGAAGAAAATATTTTAAAAAACATACAAGAAAGAAGAAAAAAGATATACTCAAAGAGATATGGCAATGCATCCATGAAAACAAGTATAGGATCTCATAATCTGAAAATGAGAAATAGCTCTTGAAAAATTAAAAAAAAAAAAAAAAAAGACAGCAGACATTAAATACTCAATAAAAGTTGGAGGATAAAGTCGCAGAAACGTTTTAGAAAGCAGAACAAAAATGCAAAACAGAAAAAATAAGCAAACCGAAGGACTGACTTAGGAGATAGTCCAATTCTTAATAAAAATTTCCAAAAGAGAGAACAGAAACTGAACGGAGGAAAATTTCCAAAGAATAATGGAAGAAAGTATCCTAAAACTGAAGGAGATAGTTTTTGGATCGAAAGAACCCACGGAGTAGCCAGCACAAGGAATAAAAAGAGACCCGCGATTTCATGAAATTTCAGAACGCAGGCATTAAAAACCACTCGAAGCAAAAGAACAGAACCGGCCCCTGAAAAGGCCGGGAATCAGAACAGCATCAACCGAGCACCGGCAGCTGGAAGAGCCAGCGAGGCCTCGACGTGCTGGAGAAGACGTTCCCAGCCTGGAACTCGCCCCGCCCAGAGCCTCGATCCAGCTCGAGGGAGAAGAATACAAACAGGTGTAGACATGCTAGAAACGAATGCGTCATCTTACAGCGTTGGAGGCCAGAGGTTTGAATTGGGTCTCACTGGGCTAAAATCAAGGTCAGCAGGGCTGCGTTCCTTCTGGGGGCTCCGGGGAAAATCCGCTTCTTTGCCTTTTCCAGCCGTGGGAGCTGCCTGCATTCCTGGGCTCGTGACCCCTGCCCCCGTCTCCAAAGCCGGTGGCACTGCCTCTTCGACTCTCTGACTCTCCTGCTTCCCTCTTAGAAGGACCTGAGATTACATGGGGCCCGGCAGGGCAATCTGGGAAACTCTCCCCATCTTGAGATCCTTAATGAGCTGTAAAGTCTCCTTCATCAGGTGAGGGGATACACCCCACAGGTCCATCCTTGGAGGCCATCATTCCGCCTATACACGAAACTTCAAAATTTCATCTCCTGTGCATCTTTTCTCAAGAAGTTATGAGGACACGGGAACGAAATAAAACAGTGAGGTCAGGTCTAAAGGGAGAGGGGTCAAGAGCATTCCTCGGGAGGCGGGTCCAGGACGACCGGTACCCAGCAGCCCAAAGCGCAGCAGAGCCGGAGGTTGGAACAGGCACATCGGCCAGAATGAATGAAACCAGCGGAACACGTGCCATGTCTGAGTGTGCTCAGAGGCTTTCGCTGGAGGCTTTTGAGATGGAAAACAAATATGTACTTAGAAAACAAGGCAAATGAAAAACAAGGCCCATATTAACTCCATTAAAGCAAGAAAATCGTACAACAAAGCAAACGTATGTGGCACAACAGTGAAAAAAACAGGTACGCGCAACGTTGAAAACTAACTACCTACACACAGCGAGATGAGCACGCGGGGGGGGGGGTCTGTGGGTGTGCGTGAGTGTGCGGGAAGAAGGGACGGGGGAAAAGACCGAAATTCTCGTCTCCATAGCTCGGAGTCAATAAATAACATCTGAAACTGACAAACCGAGAAGCGGCAGTGCAATCAGATTGTTCAGAAATAGGGAGATAAACCCAGAAGAAATGACTGAAAGCGTGAAAACGTGCTGTGGCCATTATTATGCTTTTCCTCCCTCGGCCCCTTCCCCTCCTTCTCGGCCTCCAGGCCGGCTGCTCGATGTCGCCGGCTCAGTGCTGCCGCTCTGCTCGTCTGCCCGGGCTGCCCTCCTCCTCCTCGGCTTCATGTGGGTCGTTCTCGCTGCTACGTCTTCAAAACTTTCCCTCTGTGGTGTCTAAACTGCTGTTTAAGCCATCTCGTTCCTTTTGTCTTTTCTTCCCCCCATTTCTAGAAATTCCATTTTGGCCTTTTTGATATTTTTATCTCTCTCCCCATTACATCGAGCTTTCCTTCATATCCTTGGGTTTGCTTATAAGATTTGTAATACCTGTTTTAAGGTCTTTGTCTGTGATTTTTATCGCCTCTCATTTCCGGGTTTGTTTCTATGGACTGATTTTTCTCTTGGTTCTGAGTTTTATTTTCCTGCCTCTTTGTATGCATAGTCATTTTTGACTGATGTTAGAGATTGTGAATTTTACACTGCTAGGTGATAGATTTTGTTGTATTCCTGTGAAGAATGTTGGATTTTTCTTCTAGCAGGCAGTTAAAATACTTTTGGATTAGTTTCATTCTTTAGAGGCTTCTTTGCCTGAAAGCTTTGTTACGGGGGGTCTGTAGTCTTGATATTCTGGTGCTAATTTAGCCCCCCTACAAAGGCATGGCCATTCTGAGGACCAACACACCGTGCATTATGAGTCTCTGCTCTGGGTTTGTAGAGGCACGAGCTATTCCCGGCTGTGGATGAGCTCCGGGCACTGTGCGAACTACTGCTTTTCAGGTGGTCCTTCACCTGGTCACAGGGAGCCTTCCCCCACGGAAGCACAGTCTGCATTCAGCGAGGGCTCCCGGGACGCCACGCCGGGTCTCTGAGGCTCGCGCTCGCTCGCTCGCTCTCTCTCTCTCTCTCTCTCTCTCTCTCTCTCTCTCTCTCTCTCTCCGTGCGGGTTCTTCCTCCCTGGTGCTCTGCTTCGTCAGCCCTGCTCACCGGGCCTCCCCGAAGTCTGACTTCGCCTCCTCGGTCAGCGCGACCCGCGAGCTCTGCTTCGTCCTCCCTCCTGGCGCTGCAATGCAGTCTGGGAAGTGCCCCAAAGCAGTGAGCTGGGCCCGTCACAGGGCGCAGGGATCACAGTGCTGCACGGCCTGTTTTTCAACGTCCAACGACCATCGTTTCTTTTTTTCCTAGTTGGTTTTCAATAGGCGAGCAACGCCCATAGCACTCAAAGGGCAGAAGAAAGTTTCCAAGGCTTCTTTAGATGTGACCTGGACCTGCAAGTCTCAAGCTTCATCTACAGCCCTGTTCCCATTCAATCCAGATTAGTAACCTGAGGTAGCTGAGGTATACTGCTTAATCAGAGAGACGG